ATATGGTCAATAACAAGGGGGCAAAAAAAGAAAAAGGTTTGGTAAACGTTGTGTTGCTACCAGAAAACCTGTTTGATTCTCGATGTTCACTTTCATTTCAACGTCAGTGTTGTTGCCGTTGGCGATCACTGTAAATTACGCCTTGCCAAAAGTCATTTAAAAAAAAAAAAAATTAGTTTTACATCTATTTTATTACCACCAAATATCATTACCGTTAGTCCTCTTGATTGTAGTGTATTTCTATGATTGTTAAGAAGATTTTTTTTTTCCTGCTTATTGCTTGCTGTTCAAACAGAAAACTTTCTTTTTTTTTAATGAAAATTACTGACGATTTATCGCATATTGGTTTATTAGCCTTAATAACATTAATGTTTCCATTTTGATGCACTAATTCTAATAGCACCCGTTGTAGATCGACTAAACAGTATCTGACAAAAATGAATGTTTCTGGCAGTTTTCTCGTTTTTTTTTTTCTTTTTTTTTTCCTCTTCAAAGTTACATTATATTTTGATACTGTTTGTTTAAGATTTCTGAATGTTTCAAATTTTTTTTTGGAAATTTGAACTACCATAATTTTGTTGGCAAGATTATTTTGAAAGTTAGGTGTTTATTCTGGCCACCTCATATGAGGTTTTAAAGTCAGATAGTTACAATTTTTACATTTAAATTCTATAATTTTGTCATTTACAACGTTATCCTCACATCTTTCGTCTGTTTTTTTTTGTCAACATTTTGCAAACTGTGTGTAATTTGTGTTTTTTTTGCTTTTTTGGAAGTTTTGTTTTTAATTTTTGAAAACATCTCCAATAAAGATTATCATTTTTTACTCAATATCCATTCTTTTCTTTATTTGCGTTATTGACGGATTACAATGTAAATCTTAAATCCTCAAATTTATAACTGAAACAGTAACATATTCTGTCACTCAGTTAATTTTCTTTGTTAATTTTTTTTTTTTTTGGAAGAAACTGATAAGATAGTAAAACAATTATTTTTATAAGAGATTTTGACAGTAAAAGCAGTTTTTGATCAAAACTTTTCTCTTTATTTCGTCATTGTAAATACAACCTTTTTAATTTTCTTTAGTATTTTTTTAATCACTTGGAAACACTCATCAACTAGTATGTTGCCTAAGATCTTAGAATCCTAACTAGTTAGCCAACTACTTTTAGGGCTGAATATTTCTTACTGTGGCATGTGCCAACTGAGTGTTGTAAATGCCTGACGCACTTCAGTCAACCAGTTTGCCGATGTCCTTTCAGTCGGTTTCTTTTACTATACTAATACATGATCTTTTCGTATCTATATGGTTATCGGACCAACATGCTGGTGTCTGGATGGATTCAAGCAGAGTCTGGATTACAACTGCAGCACCTTTCTTTTTAGTTAACGTCTCTAAAGGTTTTTAGTGGGTGGAAGCGCTGTAAAAGTGCAGTTGCTGGAGACAATCTTTGTGCGTGACGTTTGAGTCTTAAAATTGATGAAACTCAACGTTACAGAAAAAAGCAGGTTGAAAAATGAGTTTTTCACGCATCTGTAAGTATTGGTTAACTATGTCTTCAACTTCTCTATCGGATAATTCGTTTGTTATTGCTTTTTTTTTTTGTATTTCTTGTAAATCTTCCGATATGACCTTACGTGTATTTAAAAATCAAATTTGTATTTGAAATTTATTTAGTAATTAGTAGTTTTATCGTCGATAGCGTGTAAAAGTCAAAATGGTAGCATAATTGGAAAATTTGCAGCACTGGTCTATTCAAAATGTTATTCCGCAACATTTTGTCAATGAAAACGGCATCTTTTGTTCTGCAGAGGAGGCTGTCTTCAATGTTAATAAATAATCCACAATATGGGTTCTTAAAAGAACTTGGACTAACTGAAGAATCATGCGGTGTTTTTGACGGCTCCTGGAAGGGTAGTGGGCCACTGTTGGAATCTATTTGCCCGGCAAATGGTCAAATAATCGCTAAGGTGAGAACAGGTAATGATAATAACTGTTACCAAAACATTGATCAGCTACAGAATTAATTTTTGTCGGAAGCAGACACCTGTTACTACAAAAGATCTAAAATGAATGCTACAGAAAAGTACAAGAAAAAAATTATTTCTTTTTATTTTTTACCAGTATTAGTGAGTTAATGAGTGAACTGGCTTGTTGTATTGCATAAACGTTAGTAAACATCTACTTCATTTTTGAAACTAGGCTCACTAGTTGATACTGACTGTCTAGGACTTTTGTTCATTTTTACTCATTAAAAAGATTTTGAATAATGATTTTTCAGCCAGCAAGGAAGAATATAATCAGGTTATTAAATCAGCACAAAGTGCTTTTGAAGAGTGGTCTGAAGTACCCGGCCCGCGGCGAGGTGAAATAGTTCGTCAAATTGGCCTAGCACTTCGCGAACAGCGCGACAACTTGGGGAAACTCGTAGGCTCCAAGCTTATAAAGTGTTTCTGCCTTGTTTTAATAATTTTCAAAAAAGCTCGGTGTTACATTTTGGTTTGAAAATTGCTAATAAAATACTGCTGTTTTCAGGTATCGTTAGAGATGGGCAAAATTTTAGCTGAAGGGAAAGGGGAAGTTCAGGAATTTATTGATATATGCGACTTTGCATTGGGACTCTCTCGTTCCTTTGCTGGACAGATATTCCCATCTGAGAGACCGGGTCATGTACTTTTGGAACAATGGAATCCGCTAGGTCACTTTTCTGAGAAGTATATCATGGAAGGAAACCTTATTTGAAATTACAAGACCCTATTTCTGAAATATAATAGTTTTTTAACAGAAGTACCACTTTTAAGTCTGTAGTTTTCTAAAAGTGTTCTTTTCTTAAGTGCAGTGAGTGTTTGCTTCAAATTTCTTTACTGTAATAGCAAAAGATTAAAAAAATTGTTTTTTTTTTATATTGAAGGGATAATTGGCGTTATTTCTGCATTTAATTTCCCTTGCGCAGTATACGGATGGAATAGTGCGATAGCATTGGTCTGTGGTAATTCGGTAGTCTGGAAGCCAGCTTCTACAACTCCGTTAATAGCTGTAGCCGTCACCAAACTCATCCAAAAGGTTTGCTATTTTTTTAATTGCCTAAAGTTTTGGCAATTCTGAAAAATTAAAGTAAGCATGCTTTTCAGGTACTCAAGGAAAATAAAATAAATGAAGGCCTTTGTTCGCTCATGGTCGGTGGAGCAGGAAGGAAGCTTCCAGCCGATCCCTTAGTCAAGCTCGTTTCATTCACTGGTTCAACTGAAGTCGGTTTTGGTGTTGCTGAACAACTCGGCAAGCGTTTTGCCAAGGTCGAAAATTTTTAGCTTCATTAAAAGTCTGATATTTTTAATGGCTCCACTGCCCCATAAAACACTTACCTCTTTCTGTTTGCTTCTTTAGATGATCTTAGAACTAGGTGGGAATAATGCAATAATCGTAAATGAAGATGCAGATTTAAATATGGTTATTCCGGCTACAGTTTTTGCTGCAGTTGGCACTACGGGTCAGAGATGTACAACAACCCGGCGTCTTTTAGTCCATGAAAAAGTCCGTAACTTTTTCAATTCAGAAAAATAAAACTGTTGTAAATTTCTGCATTTATTATTCTTTTTCTTATTTAGCACTCAAATTTCTCCACTTATCCTCCTCATTCTATCCTTAACTTTTAAAATATTTATCATAAATCATGCTGAAATGCAATTTTGGGTCTATGATGAAGTTGTAAGCAGAATGAAGAGAGCATACGCACAAATTGAGAGTCGTATTGGTGACCCCTTAGATACAAATACTCTTGTTGGACCGATGCACACTAAAGAGAGTGTAAAGGACTATGAGGATGCAGTTGCAGAAGCGATTTCATCAGTAATCCTTTTATGTTCAAAAAGCTGTGGTTTATCGTGGTTCTCAGAGTATGATGTATTATGAAATTTTTAGGGGTAGAATTGATGGTCAGATTAAAAATTCAAAAAAAAAATTAAATGATGGGTTTTTTGCAGCGATAGTTTATAGTAATTTGGTAGATCAAGTTTTCTTCGATTCTCACATGGCACTTTCTGAATGTCTGAGACCTCGTAAGGACAAGGTTGGCATTTAAACTCCAACAGTTAACAAAAATAAAAACAGTTCGTGGTTGGTTGTCTCAGGGTGCCAAAGTCGCTTACGGAGGAAAGACACTGACAGACCGACCAGGTTACTACGTTCTGCCAACGTTAGTTACTGATATTAAACATAATGCCCCAATTGTTCATCGAGAAACGTTTGCGCCAATACTGTACATTATAAAAGTAAGTTATTCTTTATGTAATATAAAACCGCCTACTTCTTTGTCGGCGTTGCGAAGTAACATATACGATGAGCTTCTTTACTACATTGTTTTATCGTATACCGTTTTCTATTTGATAGGTGAAGAATCTGGAGGAAGCAATCAAAATTAATAACGAGGTCCCACAAGGTTTATCAAGCTCACTGTTCACTCAGAATCTTCAAAATGCGATGAAATGGATTGGGTATGAACTTTAGCAGCAGTTTTTACTACTCTAATGAGGATTCGTCAAGCATTTGCTATCCACCCGTGAAGGAGGGTGATTTTTGTTGTTCTGCAGACCGAAAGGAAGCGATTGTGGCATTGTAAATGTGAATATCCCAACGTCCGGAGCAGAAATCGGAGGAGCGTTTGGTGGCGAAAAAGAAACTGGAGTAGGACGTGAGTCGGGGTCTGATTCATGGAAGCAATATATGCGCAGATCGACCTGCACGATAAATTACAGTAAAGCCTTACCTTTAGCGCAAGGTATTAAGTTTGAATAAAAGAATTTTACCTTTAAATAAATGTTATTACAAAAGCATCATTCCACTGAAGATCCCTGAAAGATATAATTGACCGCAAATCGGGAAACTTTGTCTCTTTGCGTTTTGAGACCAAACTCATCCTCTTTATGCTTCGCTTAAATGCGTTTCTAAAATGACGTTTTCGAAGCTTTCAGAATTACCACCAAGTAATCATTTATCTACTTCAGACCATAAAACGCCACTTTTAAACTCTCATCATTCATTATGTTGTGAAATCACAGAGGTCTCGTACCAGAGATATGTAAAATGACAAACAGTCAGTATTGCTGGTTAAAAATGGTATTATTGATATGGTAATGTTTAAGATGAAAAAAAACATTTCAATTTTCTCTCTGTGGAATTTATGTGTGGAAAAATAAGCCGTACTTTGGCTGTCTAAAACTTACATTATTAGAACGCAAATCGTTCCAATGAGAACCACGGCACTACTGCTGCGGAAACGCAACTATACAATAAAACGAAATCTACAAACAGCTGTTTAAATGCGATTTTTACTGACTTGAAAAGAAGTGGAAGGTACTACTGCTGCTCGCATCTTTAAGTACAGTCTGAATGAAAGCCTTCAGGTTGTTTCCCCCGTGACTTCACTAATGTAGCAAAGTCAATGACAATTTTCAAACCTTGAGATGTATTCCCTCTGAACTTTTGTCTTGAAAAATGCAGTCGATATTTGTTAAGATAATTCCGCTTGCAAAGTTACAAAAGTTCTAAAGCGTACTTTATTAGATTTCTAATGTTTCTCATTCGTTGTAGAACTAACAACATCAGAGGGTAGTTTGATAAGTGTTACAGCCAAAAAAACTAATGCATACGTTTCTGCTATACGAGTTAAATTGCTAATGAAAATGCTTGAAATAAGTGACTTTATTCTTCTTTTGAAAAAGAAAAGATCGGTGCGTAAGCCAGTAGCTGCTTGAGGAATTCACGGATCTTATTGAACGGCAAAAAAATTAGGACAGGGAAGCCTTCCCTGGAAAAGAGCGAAAATCAAGTATTTTTTCATTTTACAACTGCTGTCTGCTGAACGGGTCTTACTGAATTTTCCGGTATGTTTAGCAAAATACAGCGCCTACAGTGTCCACAGAAAATTGAGTAAAACTCAAGCAGTTCGTCTTTAAGCATCTTCCCAAAGCTTCACTTTTCTCATCGAACTTTGAGTCGTCAACTTTCTGTCAACTTTTGCAATCTCCCCGTCGTTTACCCCTACCTTATGATAGTTGGACTTGCTTGCTTGTATTTTTTTTACTCTGTGGTGCCTGAAGTAAAATTACTAAAATTGTTTTATGTTGGCCAATTTGAATGGAGTCCAATACTCTTCCGAAAAATGCATTATGCGTCTCGGGATAATAATTAGCAGTTGGATAAAAGCTGATGCTCCTTGATCTAAAAATGAAAAAGTGAAGCAACGTTTAAAAAGCAACCTGTTTCAAAACTGTTCGCGAATTTGTTTGCACAACGGAGCCACTGTTTTCCTATTCCATTATAACTGCATTTCCTTCCTGCTTTTCAAATTGTGCATTTGGTAAGTCACATAGTCTTTTGCAGTTAAGTTCATATTAGGATACTGTTTTTTTGGACGGCGCAGACTCGATGCTCTCAAGTGTTTCTTTCCTTGTGAACAGTCGAGAATTATCCTCTTTCTTATTATTCGGAAAGACAAAAGCGTAAGTCCTTCCTTTATTATTAGCGTATACTATCGGCTGCTATTTCAAGCAATGGCAAGTTTTTTCCATGTCAGTGTCTAGCCGCAATGAATGATTGGTTGTTTATGTCACCGTTGTCAGCCAGTTGTTTCGAGCCTTGTCTACCTTTTCTTTTTTTACATTGCTTAATAAGCTTCTCAGTCACGTCTGATTCTTAGTCTGATTCTTGCAACCCTCATGGCGAAAGAGGATAAAGCTTACTTTTGATGTTCTGTTAGTAAAAGCCTTTCACTTCGCAGTTTTTTAAAACTTCTTAAAAAATGCAGTAAAGTCGTCAATGATATTAGATTATTCTAGTTTTTTGGAGGCACCTCGTTATTTTTGCTTTCCAATTATGAGCCACTGAACAAGTCTCTCAACTGTTTGTGATTAAACCTAAATGCATTATTCATTCAGTTTTTAGTACAGCTGAATAAAGTAATTTGGTGAAAATGTTTCCAGCAGGTCAATTTTGTTTTTTTTTTTTAAGTTGACCTAGTTTCTAGATTTGCTGACCGGAAAATTGAAACATTAACTCTGATTCCGGTTCACTTTTTGTAACAACCAAAAACCGTAATTTTAAAGGTCCATTTCTTTCTGGCTAATTTATTAAAAATTAACCTTCTATTTAGAGAAGGGAAATTGAGTTAAATAATTAATAAAGATAAGGCACTCTCGGAGACACCATGTTTTTTGAGACCGACTTAGACAACGGCCAGCTGGATTCAATGTATTGACTGTGAAGTGAGTTTAATAGTCTGTCAAAGTCCGACATTTAGATGTCCCGGAAAAGAACGTGGTATCCAGGTAGCCTAATTTTTAATTGATTTGAAAACCGAATCCAAGAAAATTTTGATAAAAAAATTATTCAACCAAATGTCACCAAATTAATGTTGCTAGTTTTTTACCAATTCAAACTTACAAACCGCAGCCGTTTCATGCTGCTTGATTGTCAGTAACCAAAAAGTAGCTATGAAAATGCTGCTCAAAAACTGTCTTCGTTTCACCATACTGAATCTACTGTTGCTGTTAATTTGCTTTCAGAAAAACCACTTTTCAAAGCATTGATTGGCTCATAGCGAAACGTTTAAAAAATTACTTTGAGTTTCAGCGTTTCTTGATAATGCGTAACCTTAGGTTACAAAAAGTGCAAGCCATTTATTTTGAAAAGTCTGAAATCGATATAATAATTCGTACTCATACTGTAATTGTTGCTGCAAATACATTCTAAGGGCATCATATTGTTGTCAATTATTGAAGGAAATAAAATTTATGCAAGATAATCGCTAATGAAGGAATTATTCTTTTTTAGGAGCTCAAAAGTAACGAATTTACATATTACATCAACAACGTATTCATAACAGGTGTATTTCAGAAGCTGATCATCACCACCCGCACCACATCTTCCATTGTTCTCATTTTTCAAAGATTAGCTGTCGTTGCTTAGAAGATTTTATTTGCTTCCTTTCCTTCTCCCATGACCAGAGAGTTCTATCAGTCACTGAACTAAAACCTCCCTCGCTATTCCTAGCCATTTAAAAAAAATGCTATCAGAATCCGACCACGATGACCTAAAAAAGATGATCTACTTCATTCAGCTGGTCTAATGTTCAGGTCACAAATCTGCCTATTCCAGTTATCTCACTCATTTGCTTCTCCCAATTTTAGAAAAAAAAAGACCAGACCAAGTTGAAATTGTCATCTAAGTGCACTTTTTGTTTGAAAAAAGAATTTAAAGATGTTTTTAGTGACTAATTTGTTGATATTTTTGTCAACCAAAAATCGCAATTTAGTCGTCGTTGAAGTCCAACATTTATTTGTCTGGTTTTCTCCTCGGAACGGTATTATGCTAAAAATATTTGTTTATTTAAAATAAACAACAGAATTTTGTGTAACTCATTCAACGTTCAACATCGTGCAGATGATGCAGAACAGTGTGTAAAGCTGCTATTTGAGTGGGTTAAGGAAAAAAAGTATATGAGTATCATAAGTCAGACAGTCAAAGCTACTATTGATGACGACTGGGCAATCTAAAATTCAAAGCTAGGCAGTGATTAAGCTCTTACTTTCACAAAAGTTGTAGTAAATGTAGAAATAAACAATGATAACCATAAAGGAGATGATAATCAAGTAAGAACCAAAGAGAACACGCTTTTTTCTTAAACAGAACGACAAAAGAAAAAAAGAAAACGAAACAACGGACAAGGGAGAAACGTTTGAATTATATTGTACCCCTATTTTTGAGGGGAAACACCGACAATAACAGAACACTAATGTAAAAATTGGTACCAATATTTTGTTTTACAGTTACAAGGGGGGTTTGAAAAACAATAAGAACAGTAACAATAATAACGATATTAATAACAAAATTAATATTAATATTCAAAAATAAATGACAATAATAATAATAACAACAATAATAAAAATAAAAATAATAAATTCACTGAAGGATGGTTAACAGTTACAAACTCAGTTTAGTCAAGTGTTAATCACGATTTTAGAAACTCCCTTTCCCCACTTTGCCGACCGCGTTGGTACTGACTACTGAAGTATGATGCATAGCAGACGAACACAAATAACGAATATACTTTATGAACAGAAACTAACTTATTTTTTAAGCCTCTAATGTCACTTGTTTTTACGTAAACCGAATGTGCCCTTACTTGTGAAAAATGATGACCAGAATTGCAAAAATCAGTTGCTATGTATCACTGGAACACTTAATTGCGAAGTATTTCGAAAGAAAAAACTCACCTTTAGTCTTCCTTTTTTTTT